GCGCCACTTTCCTCTACCACGACTACTGCGTCATCGGGGCCGGCCCCTCAGGCTTGCAGGCGGCCTATTTCCTCCAGCGAGCCGGCCGGGACTACGTCGTCTTCGAGCGGAGCCACACTCCCGGCAGCTTCTTCGCCCTCTACCCTCGCCACCGCAAGCTCATCAGCATCAACAAGCGGTACACGGGCAAACCCAACAGCGAGTTCAACCTCCGCCACGACTGGAACTCACTCCTCAGCCACGACCGCCAGCTGCTTTTCCGACGCTACTCCCGCGACTTCTTCCCGGACGCTGACGCGATGGTGCGTTACCTGGAGGACTTTGCTTCCCTGCTGAAGCTGCGGGTTCAGTACAACACGGCCATCGTCCACGTGACGCTGGAGAAGGACGAGCAGGCCTGGCATGGCCACTACTTCCTCCTGACTGACCAGGACAGACAGAACTACAAGTGCAGGTAACGGGTGAACCTGGGACTAACCACGCCGCTCTCCGTGGGCATCTTCGAAGTCACAAAATCACAGAATAAATTAGGTTGGAAGAAACCAGTAAAGGTCATTTCGTCCAAGTCCCCTGCCCAATGCAGGGCCAGCAACGTCAGGTTGCTCAGAGCCTTGCCCTGTTGAGGCGTGAATATCTCCAAGGACAGAGATTTCCCAGCCTCTTAGAGCTTTAACCCCCATGACAGGGGAAAAACATTTTGCAGGGATCAGTGGGGTGGGTGGGTGAAATAACTGCTCCTGGGAAGGTGTTTCCTTTCGTGAGCAGTGTTATGCCTTGGACAGATGAGGGGCTGGCAGGGCAGACACAAGCTGGCTGTGATTGCCATATCACTGCAGGTTCCGATCTTGAAATCATTTTTGGTTTATCACTAGGTAATTGCTCTCTGTGGAAAAAAAAAAACCCTCAGACCTAGTTGTTGTAGCCACTGCTGTATTTGTTACAAACTCGAGTGAGTCAGTGCGGCAACACCTCGCTTCCATTAACCCACATGTACTCGGGAGTGTGTCCCAGGCAACTGAAGCCCCGGGCTAGCACAGAGCTGGCAGGGGGGAAAATAGCGAAAAGCGGGGCTGTTGCAGCAGAGGGAGCTGACTGTAAGAAATAACCCTCGAGGCTGCTGGTCCCTGAATTCCCCTTCCCCCTTGTCGTACGTACACGTGTGTATCTTGTACTGCCATTGAGCTACGTTCCTGAAAACCCAGAAGTTACTCGTGTGAACATACGGAGTGTATTTCTCACCTCTCCTGAGAACCTCAGCTCTACGACAGCAGGTCGTGCTGGCTGTCGCTTGGAGGTGTGCTGGCTGGCAGGCTCAGAGGGGACAGAAGGCAGTCCCGGACACTCACGCGCTGCAAGCGAGTGGCTGTTGGGAGCTGTGTGAGCAAGGCTGGGACAGGAGGTAGTGCCACTAGCCTTGTCTGCCTGGTGTTTCTGTCTGAATCACAAAAATTTCCCTGAGATTCAAGTAAAAGTTCCTATGGAGAGATATAAAAAGATTGCTGTGTTTAATTTTATTGTTAACAATCAGTGATGTTGCTAAAGTGTTTTTATGACTAGGAGTTACGTTTTAAAATATCAAAATCATTTTCTATCCCTCTTAAAAATTATTTTTGTTCTGCTGTACTAAAAGACAACACAAATTTTAAACCAAAATTTTACACAACATATAATCAACCCGTAAAACTTTAGTATTATATAGATCATCAGTGAGTACAAATGAGTAGTACTTGCACACTCATGAGCAACGGAGGTAGATGTACATGCACAGCACCCACACCGACTTTTGCTCTGTATAACGATGTTCCTAGACGTCTTTGTTGGCCTGAGGATAGGGAAGAGAGCAGCAAGTCATTAGGTGAAGCTTGGGAGAGGTTTCTTTTGAAACCATGACCTGTGCAGCTGATCCAGGGTCACATCACAGCCATCTTCTCCAGCGGGAGGAGGAAGGAGTGATGAGGTGGAACGACAGCTCCATTCTCGTAATTCCTGCGTTCCCCGGTGCTATCCCTGTTTTTGCAGCGCTCTGTTGGTCGCCACTGGGATGTGGGTCCCCAACGTGGTAAACTTCCCTGGCTCAGAATACGTTGAGGGTTACGAGACTGTGTCCGTCAATCCGGAAGACTTTGCTGGCCAAACCGTGTTGATCTTGGGCCGAGGGAATTCGGCCTTTGAGACGGCGGAGAACATACTGGGCGTCACGAATTTCATCCACATGGTGAGCCGGTCCCGCGTGCGCCTCTCGTGGGCCACCCACTACGTTGGGGATCTGAGGTAAGAAACCACTCCTCGAGCTCTTTCTAACGCGGCTGGAGTACACACAAGGGGAATCGCTTCTTGCCCAGGAGACGAGTCAGGCTGGCACAGGAGGTGTTGTGCTCCTGGGGGTCGCAGAGGAAACATGGGGCCTTCTGTCTTTAGGTCCTCGGTTTAAAGCAGGTTGCAGTTGCTTGAACACAGGAGCCTGATGAGAGCTCTTTGAAGTCTGAAATAGGAAAATGTCCCCTTGGAAACTGTATCACTAAAAAGTGCTGGCTTCCAAGTTGCTCCCTCGCTTGCGACCACAGAGGAGAGCTGAGAGGTTGACTACGTCCTGCCAGGGCAGCCAGGCTGTGTTACCTGTGCTGTTCCTGTGAGCCCTGAGGCTCTGGGAGTGAAGGGGAGGGTGGGATGCCTGGTAAAGGTGTCCCGTTTTCAGCAGCTGAGACAGAACCACAGATCCCACCTCTCCTCCCTTCTTTTAGCCCTTCTTACATTCTCTTTTGTAGAGCAATTAACAACGGCCTGCTGGACACCTACCAGCTGAAATCTCTGGATGGGCTTCTAGAGGGTGACCTGGAAGATCTGGCTATCGTCAAGGACAAGAAAGGGAAGCTGCACATCACGCTCCGGTTCTACCTGGAGAACAGGAACACCAGTGCAGGCATCGACTCCATCACCCTCCCACAGGACGAACTGGATAATTTTGCCACCCGCGCACCTTACGACCGTGTCATCCGCTGCCTGGGCTGGAAGTTCGACTTCTCTGTCTACAACAGGTGAGGGAGAACCAGGATCTCCGGGGAAGCAGGTATTTAGAGTGAAGGGCCTGATGAGGGAGGAAAGGGAAGGGCAAGTCCTCTCCTGGCAACGTTGCCCAGACCTCCACGTGCTCTGAACTACCCGGTGCTGCACAGTCGTTTGTTTACCCTGCAGCTACGGCCATGTCCCAGTGGGAACCTGTGTGTCACTGCCCTCAGACCGACAGGCTCTGGGGCTGAGCAAATGGCAGCGTTGGGACCTGGGTGACACAGAAATACTCGTGCCTTTAGAACTTAACATCCTGGCCTGCAAGATCACATGGAGCAGGCTAGCAATGGTTTGCGGTTTGGGTTTTTTTGGAATGAGGACGGTACAGGTATGGATTGCTACAGAAAGGTTTTCTCTGCTTTTTTTCCCTGAGGATGCAACCTTCACTTCACCTTGGTTTGTCTCCTAGTACGCCCTGCAGTTGAAAACGATACCGCTAATTTCACTGTCTTCCAAAATTCACTGTCAGTGGCTCAGACTGGAATTTGATCTTGGCCAGAGCTACGTTGAGATGAGCACCCTTGTCTTCTGGAAGATCCTTGTTGTAGCAGTAAATCCCACTGAAGGCAGTGGGGGCGTGAAGCCATGTCTTGCAGTGGCTGCAGTCTAATGTGTGCCTTAACAGAAACCCTTTTCATTTTTCCACCCCTGCCCTTCCTGACAGCCTGCTCTTCTCTTTTGCACATCAGATCCCTTCAAATGATGCCAGGGAAAGGGAATAAAAAGAAGTATCCTCAGATCAAACCCAGCTACGAGTCCAGAAGCACTCAGGGGCTCTTTGTTCTTGGCACTGCTAGCCATTCCATTGACTTCAGGAAATCTGCTGGGGGCTTCATCCATGGATTCCGGTATACAAGTGAGTATTGGGGTGTACAGAAAGGGCAGAGGCGGGAATCGTGCCTCCCTTCGAAGGAACAATTCATAGCTCACTGCTGGACAGAGATCACCCTTAGTCTTGTGCCGGCAGTAAGAACAACAAAACACAGCCAAGCTGCAGCTGCGTCGTCTGAAGTGGAGGAGAAGTGACTTGGGGTCATATCTGAAGTTTTTGGTTGTCTGTCTTTGTTTTGTCTTGTGTCTCTCTTGCCCGTTGTCTCTTATTTATGTAACACAATAGATTTCTGCCTGCCAGATGCTCTGCCTCGTGACAGGCTGTGGGTGAGAGGTCTGTGCTCTGGAGTTAAAACCCAGCGGCTTTGGGCAGTAGCAAGATTTTTCATCTTTATGCGTGTGTGCCCATCCTTATCATTAAAGGACTACTCAGAAGTAATGAAATATCCTTTTTCCCCGCCCCCTCACCAACCACTTAGCATCACATCAGCTTTCAGAGGGCATCTCCACTGCGGTTACCGGTGATTGGGGTGGGAGATCCAGAGCGCGGATGAGCTGTAAAGCTTATTTATTGTGTCCTGCCGGTGTCTGCCTGTGCCGCAGCAGAGCAGTCGGATTTCTCAAAAGCGTCAGCTTGGAGTTTTAAATAAGCTGTCCTTGTTCCTCTCGATGTCTTAGCTCGTGCAGTCCACCGCCTGTTGGAAAACCGTCACCATGGTGTCCCCTGGCCATCCACAGTCTACCCTGTTACACAGCTGACCAATTCCGTCATCAAGCGGGTGAACGAGGCCTCAGGCCTCTACCAGATGTTCAGTGTCCTGGCTGACATCATACTGCTGAGAGAGTGAGTGAGTGAGTAATTATTCCCAGCGCTGCATTCCATCGTTTCATTCCTTTTTTTCCTTTACCATTGCTTCCCATTGTGGTGCCACCACAGAAATTGCTCTGTTGCTGCCTAAGAACGTTACCGTCACGTAGGCAGCCACCTCAAAACCCTGTATCGCTGCCACAACTGGTGCCAGTATGCCCAGTTCTACCAGTTAGTTCTCTCTCTTAAAGGGCTGAAATGGGCCAGACCTCCCCTCTAGGCTCAGAGGTGTAGTACCCCATTACTGTCCCCAGGGGAAAGCTTTCCTTGAGCAGTGCTAATGGAGAGAGGAATCCCATAATCGAGGAAAATAATGAAGTAACAGTATCTGCAGCCTTCATAAGTTCTGCGTCAAGTCCAGCCAACATCCATAATGACCATAAATAATTACTGTCTAATGGCTCTTTGGCCTTAGCCTCGGCCAGCGGAGGGGGTGTTGGATCCCAGCTGGCTTTTCTCTGGTGGAAAAGGCTGATGGTTGTGGTTGCAATTCACAGGAACGCCACAGCGTTTGAATACCTGGAAGAGTACCCGGTCGGAATCCTGGCCGAGCTGGAAATGCAGACGGGGAGAAAGGCTCCCAATGGGCTGTTTGTCGTCATCATGGAGTATGGGAGGAATTTCTCTGGGGCTGACAAGGATGTCTTCTACTACAACCGAGCCGTGGGAGAGGCGCAGCATGCCTGGCAGTCCAACTTTTTGCACCCTGTTATTTACTACTACAAACGCCTCCCAACAGGTAAGCTTTCCTGCCTCTGCCTGCTCGTTATCGGATACGAGCACAACGGAGAGGGATGAAGATACTTCAGAGCCAAAGCTGGGGGGGTCGTACCCGAAGGCATTGCACATCCTTCTCCACTTCCTTCATGTGCATCCTCCAGGGCCCGCGCCGCCGCTGTGTGAGCTGAGAAAAAAGCTGGGAGTTGGCGAGAAGTTTCCATCGGTCGGACCGATACGGGGTGTGCGGTGTGGGGGTTGTACCAGAGTCCTCACATCTGAGAACAGAAGCAAAGAGGCGTGCTGGAAATGTCCCCGTTCCCAAAAAAAAAAAAAAAAAAAAAAGGAACGTTGCTTCCCTTTGGCTGGCACCCTGCATGTATTTTGCAGAGTCCCGGCAGATGAAGCTGGGCCGCTCAGCGTTACTGCCAAAAGAAAGCTGCGCTCTGCGGCTGGCCCAGGTCTGAGAGGTCGCACAGTGCTAGAGGCAGCCAAAGGCAAGGGTTTGAAGACGAGGGTTGCATCCAGCAAACCACACGCTCAGAACAGATTTCCTTGGGAACTGAGCGTGCTGAATCTTCGTCTCCAGAAACCTAGGGGTCAGGGGCCGGCCTGCCTTGCACGGAAGGCAGCGTGATGGGTAGCAGCATTAAAGCTTGGACGCGGTTCA